CCATATGGAGGCCAGAAGTCAATCTCATTCTCAGATGTTGTCCATTATATCTTTTGAGACGGGAACCCTTAGGAGCTCACTAGGCTACCTGACAAGAAAGCCCCAAGAATCTGCTGTTCCCACTTTCCCAGCGCTGGGATTGTGAGCGTGTGCCACCAAACCATGCTTTTGTGTGGTTTCTGGGGAGCAGACAGGGTCTGTGCTTTTGCAGCGCGCACTTCGCTGACTGAGCCGTCACCCAGCCCTCTGCCGTCTTGATTTCAGTTGTTCATTCATTCACTCAAATGAACAAGCAGAATGATACAGGGTGATAATGCTCAGAGAGAAGAATTGGTAGGCCCTTCAGTATTTTTGAAGTAGAAATATAAATTTTGTTTTACAGTATTTGGTATTAGACATCTTGTTTGTACTTTTAGACCAGCAAATTCATTTTATTAGGATGGATAACTTTGAATGTAATCAACAAATTAGTGTAATTTATTAAATGTAGTATGATGCAAGATAATTGATTTAAGATAGCAATAAAACTAGTCATAAAGTTACAGCAGACTTGTTTTAGTATACCTTAAGTTTATAAGAAGGTTTGATAATAAAGAATATTTAGCACCCTGTGTAGGGTGCTCTCTGACGAGATGATGAACATCTCTTAGTGGAGAACACAGTTTACTTTTTCATTCATGACTTAGATGAGATGGTAGTGCATTTTTCCTGAAGAGGCAGGTAGAAATATGGCCATAGAAACTAACCAGAAAGTCATGTTTGCCAACATATTTCTATAATTCTAGCCCTTTGGAGGCTGAGTCAGGGTGCTGGAGGGTTCCAGACCCTTTGGCTGTGTAACAAGAGCCTCTGACCAAACAAGATGTACAAAGACCCTAATCAGACCTTGGACTAGAACTTACTGATTCTCCTGCTCCCGTGTGTGTGTGTGTGTGTGTGTGTGTGTGTGTGTGTGTGTGTGTGTGCGCGCGCGCGCGCGCGCATTTGGAAATCAGAGGTCAGTGCTAAAGATGTCTTCCTCAGTCACTTTTTGAGACAGTGTTTCTCACTGAGCTCAAGCCTCACTCAGTAGGTTAGGGCTCAGGGATCTGTCTGTCTCTGCCTCCCCAGCACTGGGATTATTAAGCCGTGCCTGGCTTATTGTGTGGGTGCTAGGGATACACCTCAAGTCTTTAGGCTTTTGTGACAGGCATTTTATTGACTGAGCCTCCTCTCCAGCCCTAGAACTTAGATTTGTAAGTTTTCTACATAAAGTTAAAAGAAGAAATTGGGTTGACTCAGGATCTTTGAATTATATTAATCTTGAAAAATGTGAAGCCATGGTTTGGGGGTGGGGAAAGGAACCAGTGAAATAAACAAAAATGAAAAGCAACTTCACTATAAAAAAAAAATCCGATTTTGCTGAATAAGCTTGGTGGAGCTTCAGTGGATATTTAAGAATACTGAATATTAAAAAGGAATGGAAAGCTCATAGGAACTGAGGAAAGCAGGAGAGGAGTTGGAGGCCATGTTTAGTAGTTCATCTGAGTTATAGTTTGGAATCCATGTCAGCAATTAAAAGAATTAATATAGGAGGAGGAGACTGTTGTCACAGATCATATGCAGATCAGTAAAATAAGAACAGCTGGTTAACAGTGGCAGTGCAGAATCATTCCGTTTGTATACTCTTTCTGAGATGCTATGTGAAAGCACAGGGGGACTCCTGGGAAGTACTGGGAGGAAATTCTTGGAATGTGTGATGGAGCTTAGAGTGCTTGCCTAGGACACCTGAAACCCTGGATTCCAACTTCAATATGGGATGGAGTAAAAGTCAGATACTCTCCTTAATTAAGATTGGACTAATGGGGCTGGATAGATGGCTAGCAGTTAAGTAAGTACATCCACTCTTCTTCTAAAGGACCCAAGTGCAGTTCCCAGCACCCACACCAGCAAGCTCACAACGGTCTGTGACTCCACCCCCAGGGGCTCTGACACCTTTGTCCCCCTTGAGTACCTGCACTAATGTGTACACGCCCACATGCAGATACAAACACTTACACATAATAAAAATAATTTTAACAAGATAAGGACATAGTACAGAGTTCTAAGTAAGCTTCCCCTGCTTAAGACACCTTTCCAATTTAGATATCTAGTAAAGGAAAGATTTTTCATGCCAAAATTGAGAGGAGTCAGAGAATAGGGCCAGGAATAGAAAGGGATGGAGAATGTGTGCATTCTTCTGGCCCAGTGTGTCCTGCCAAGAATTTAAAATTTAGGGGCGGGGCAGGAAACAGTGTTTGTGGTTCCAGCAGTAACGCTGCGGGAATGAGAGAAAGAGCAGTCTCCTGCCTGCGGTGGAGAGTGGGCTTGAGAGCCGCACAGGCCATTCGAGAGATCCCACAATCCCACTGTAGGATTCTGGTCACTGATGTTTCTAAGGTGTATTTAGGCTGGGAATGGTGCCACATTCCTGTCATCCCAGCACTAGGGGGCTCGCAGCAGGAAAATCTCGAGTTAGTGATCATTCTGGGCCATATTGTATGTTCTAGTTCAGAAAAGAACACTAAATAAAATGTGAATTCTAACCCTTTCTATTACAAACTACTTCTAAGAGCCTGGGTAAATTGTGAGAGCTGGAGAGTGGAGAGGACGGTTTATAGACAGGATAACAGCAGCCACAGTAATTATTTATTTTTCCTTTTATTCACAGTTATAATCTTCCTATATGCGACTTCTTTATGCCCTCTAGTTTTCTCAAGTAGGCAGTTACTATTTTTTCTTTTTTAATGAACAACACACATTTTGTAGTAGGAGAAATCAAGAGTTTAAAAGTAACACTTTAATCATTAAGATTAAAAAGAGTACAAATTGTTTGTAAAAGCCAGGCATACAAACAGGGTAGTTTCTCTTGCTTTGCCTTATTTGTGATAAAAGTATTCAGTTCATTGTGTTCTTAGTTTAAAAACCACTTACCATTTACTAACTATTTGCTAGGTGCTTGAATAGTGACTCTAGAAGGAATTTGAGGCCCTGCTAGAACACACATTCAAGCTAGACACATGAAGAAGTAACTGACTCCTTTTCACTGGCTACCCTTTTACCTTCACACACTCTTTTGATATTATACCTAAAATAGAAAGGTGGCTTAGCAGTTAAAAAGCACTTGTTGCTCTTGTAGAGAACCAGAGTTCGGTTTTCTAACATTGGGCAGGTTACAGCTACTAGTGACAAGAGTTCTAAAGTATCCTACACCCTCTTCTGGTCTCCATTGGCACCTGCATGCATCTGCGCATACATACATGCTCATATATACATGTAGACACAGACATATTTAAAAAATAAAAATAATTTAAAATGTTACTTACACATAAATATGATCTAAGAATGATCTATTGAAAGAAAATGTGAATAATACAAAGTTTCAGCTTTTTCCCCCCAATTAGATGAAACTTCAATAAGGAACATGGAATAGTGTCTAGGTTTTGATCTTCAGAAAATGTTGTTTACTGTTACATACAGTTGCCCAATAGTCCCATTATATCTGATAGAGATAAAGATGAATATAATCTCTTACACTAGATATACATCAAATATTATTGAAACTTGCAAGTGATAGTACAAGGATACAGCAGTTTTGTTTGATCAGTTTCCAAGTGCTCGATTTCTTTGATGATGGAAGTTCAGCGTATGTGTGAACTTGGAGAGAAAGTAGACAAGATGACATGTGGTTGCCCATACAGACAATTGCAGTGCTGACTTACTTGGACCACCCCACCTCCTCACCTTTCCTGTCTCCAGTGTCCTTTGCCAGCCTCTGAGTTGTTATGTAGTCTGAGGATGACCTTGAACCTCTGATCTTCCTGTCCCTACCATGTCCTTTTTTTATTTGTAGTGCTGGGGACTGAACTTGGGGCTTTCTGTGTGCTTATACCAGTTGAGCTATACCCTCAGTCCCTTACTTGGAATATTTCTTAATGAGTTTATGGATTCAAAATTTAATATTTGCATGTAAGATTATATCTGTTGCCTTTTAAGTTTTGTAGAGGTAGGTGTTGTTAACATGTTCATATGTTTAGTACCAAAATTAAGATCTCTGAAGACTGATTTGCCTAGCATACAGGCTATTTGCAACTACAGCAATAATCTTATGAAGGAAGTTAAACATTAGGGAACTTTCTCCATCGCTCCAAACAAGATTAGTATAGGTTGCTGCAAATACATGACTGGATTTACTAATATTGCTCTTGGGTAATTGGGAAGAATAGGTATAGCCTTGACTATTGAAATGTATTTGCACAGAGGGTATTGCAGGCTCTATGTCCAGTACTTTCATAATAAGGTCCTCAAAAGAGTGATTTACTGAGACATCTTATCCTTTTATCTATTAAATTTTTGTTAATGGTTGTTATTTAAATAATAAAATTAGAAGTGTTAACTCTCTTTACAAGTAATGTGACTTTAATGAACTTAAGTTTCCTTAGAAAAAAAGCCAGACTTGCCGGGCGGTGGTGGCACACGCCTTTAATCCCAGCACTCAGGAGGCAGAGGCAGGTGGATCTCTGTGAGTTCAAGGCCAGCCTGGGCTACCAAGAGTTCCAGGAAAGGCGCAAAGCTACACAGAGAAACCCTGTCTCGAAAAACCAAAAAAAAAAAAAAAAAAAAAAAAGCCAGACTCTAAAGGGTGAATTAAAACATTGTAAAGCAAAATAGTGTGTTATATATTTTATATCTGAGAAAAACATGCAAACTTAAGTTAAAGATAATTTATTGAATTTTGACAGTCATTTAATACAAGAGTTTCATACTAAATCTAAACTTACCAGAAAAATTTTAAGGGAAGAATACTAGGAAATTAGAAAAAGAGGCAAACATGAACTTAAGATGAATGTTTGAAATTATTCTCATTGAATCATTTTGTTTTGTGATGCATTCATTGTCTTAGCAGGAGTTCTCATTTTACACAGCTTCAAAGGTTAAGTCCTGACCTAATCTTCCTCCTTCTCTTCCAACTTAAACTGAAGGTTATGAATACTGATGGCACTGGGAGACGAGTGCTGGTGGAAGACAAAATCCCTCACATATTTGGGTTTACCCTGTTGGGTGACTATGTTTACTGGACTGACTGGCAGAGGCGGAGCATCGAAAGAGTACACAAACGAAGTGCAGAAAGGGAGGTCATCATAGACCAGCTGCCTGACCTCATGGGACTGAAGGCCACAAGTGTTCACAAAGTCATTGGTGGGTCATTCCAGAGTCTCTTAGAAATGGAGACTAGATCTAGAAACGATGAAGAGAGACAGGCAGCAGCTTGTAAAGCATAGAAGTAAATTGTTGATGTTTGAAGCGATCATCTTGACTGTATCTGCCTAGTGTTCTGACTTCACAGTGTGCTCCTGGTATGTGCAGACCCATAGGCAGCCACCTTCATCAAAAGAACTCAGCCTTGCTGTATAATTAATGCATCTTATTTTAAAGCTTACTGTGGGTATAAAGCATTTGTTCATACTTGTACACACAGATAATCCTGATACTGCTTGTTTGTAAAAATAGAGTTGAAACTAGGTCAGGACCAACACAATCATGTCTTTATGAACCAAATGTATTCTACTTTAGAAGTGAATATGTGTTGATTGTGTGAATATATATTTTTCTGTGCTTTTTGTAACATATTTTTCTTTTAGGTTCCAACCCCTGTGCTGAGGAAAATGGAGGATGTAGCCATCTTTGCCTCTATAGGCCTCAGGGACTTCGATGCGCCTGTCCCATTGGCTTTGAGCTCATCAGTGACATGAAGACTTGCATTGTTCCTGAGGCTTTCCTTCTGTTTTCACGGAGAGCAGATATCAGACGCATATCGTTGGAAACAAACAATAATAATGTGGCCATTCCTCTCACTGGTGTCAAAGAAGCTTCTGCTTTGGATTTTGATGTCACTGACAACAGAATTTACTGGACTGATATATCACTGAAGGTTAGCAAAGAAGTTTGGAGTGTTAATGCCGGGGCTGAAAGTGAGAGCTTGAACTGCAATGTCATTGAATTACAGTAACACAGCTACAGTAGCCTATACCGCTGACTGTGGTAGAAAGTGCTGCTTGTGAATTACACCAGCCTTTTGTTTTGTTTTTCCTAGAATTAATATTGAGAAGCTTATTGAGAAGCTTATTGAGAGCTAGTGAGGAAACTCCTGACTATAAAATCTGGAGGATAGTCTTTCTTCTAGATTGTGACTTTATTTCAGATAACTTTTGTACACTTCTAACTTGCAAAGAACATGAGATGTTGAAACCAGACAGTTGGATTCTAGTGGTGTTTAAGAAAAGAAAATCTACTAATTGAGTGGAGTGGTGGGGAGTAAATGAGCCTTGGCTTTAGCTAGGTGAACCACCATCTTGCAGGACTCTTGTATTAAATGAGAATATCTGCAGATACACACCACTTATATACCACTTGGCCTGGAACTTGTTAGGAGCTAACATCTGTTACTAGCTTTTAAAATTGATGGGGTTCAAAATCTTAATGCTCATATAGAAATTGGTTCTGTTTGTTTTATGAGCTTAGAGGAAGCTGAGATCTGAATTCACACTGACCTAGCATACTTTCAGGTGTCTTCAGAAAACTGACTACCAGTGAGCTTATAGCTTTCTAGTCCCTTCTTGTTCACTTGATTACCTAGAAATTCCAAAGAAAACTCATTCTGGGTAAATGGCTCTATGGGTTAGATTGTGTATTCTGTGAGCATGATGACCTGAGTTCAAATCCCTAGACCCCATATAAAAAGCTATGCATGACTTTGCATGTCTGGAACCCCAGTATTGAGGAGTAGAGACAAGGAGATCCAAGAGCTTGCTGGATTGCTAGCCTAGCTCAAACAGTGAGCTTCTGGTTCAACGAGAGACCCCATCTTAAAGGAATATGGTGAAGAGCAGTGGAAGAAGACACCGGTGTTCTTCTCTGTCCTGTGCCTGTGCATATGCAATGTACCTAGATAAACAAAAACAATCAGGCATCCCATTCCACTGCCGTAATAAGAAAAAAATTTTGATTCTTTACCATTTCAGAAATTTCCCCCGAAAGTGGCTATAACACAGTTGCATTTATTAAAAATGGTCACTTCTGCATCTTTGTACCACCAATAAACCAGGCTTCCAGATAATGTTTTAACCTTAAGCCTTGTGTCTTAATTGCACATTGTATTTTTGCAGACTATTAGCAGAGCCTTTATGAATGGCAGTGCACTGGAACATGTGGTAGAGTTTGGCTTAGATTATCCAGAAGGCATGGCAGTGGACTGGCTTGGGAAGAACTTGTACTGGGCAGACACAGGAACGAATCGCATCGAGGTGTCAAAGTTGGATGGACAGCACCGACAGGTTTTGGTATGGAAAGACCTCGACAGTCCCCGAGCTCTGGCACTGGATCCTGCTGAAGGGTAAATAGCTTTATGTATGTATTCTTCATAGCTTTATCACACAGTGGTTATGGATTATATCCTTGATACCTTAATGTTTATTAATAATCTCACAACTAAATGATAGGAGAGGCTGGGCAGCGGGGGTGCACACCTTTAATCCTAGCATTTGGGAGGCAGAACCAGGCGGATCTCTGTGAGTTCGAGGCCAGCCTGGTCTATAGAACGAGATCCAGCATGGGTACCAAAACTACACAGAGAAAAACCCGTCTCAAACAAAACAAACGATAGGAGAGATTTGTTTTAAAACCAGTTATTGCTGGGCATAGTGGCTCATGCCTGTAAGACCAGCATTTGGCATGCTGAGGCAGAAGCATTGCTGTAAATGGAGGCTTTTCTCTGTCCTGCCCCGTCCTGCAGCCACTTCCGGATAATCACTCAGAGGCTTGTATTAATTATAAATGTTTGGCCGATGGCTCAGGCTTATTACTAGCTAACTCTTACATTTAAACTAACCCATTTCCATTAATCTATGCATCGCCATGTGGTTTGTGGCTTACTGGCTCTCTGACATCTTATTCCTTGGCAGCTGGATCGCATCTGCCCGACTCTGCCTTTCTTCTCTCTGTATCTCCATTTGACTTTCTTACCCAGTCTTATTCTGCCTGGCTATAGGCCAAAACAGCTGTACTTATCAACCAATAAGAGCAACCATATTCATAGCATACAAAAAGACCGTCCCACAACTCATTACTACCAACTTCAGCTACATCATGAATTCCATGCCAGCTTGGGCTACAGATAGAGACTTTGTCTCAAAAACAAACAAAAACAGAAAAACCCAGGGGATTCATATTTTGCTGCTTAATAATAATTCATTGCTAAAATTTACTTCATCATTATAACATTGAATGAAGAAAGTAAAATAGATTTCACAATAAAATATTAACTGATCAGTATTAATATACTGAGTGAACAGTGTTGATTTATCATCCTCCTACATTTAGTTACTACTGTCTCTCAAATCCCTCCGTTATGTAGATTCCAGACTTCTATTAGAAACCCACTAAAACAGTGTTCTATACTGAAAACAACTAATGTGGGTCCCCCACTCCCACTCTGCTTTTGCTTTCTACAATTCTACTTACTAGTGGTCTAGAAATAGTGGTTAAAGCATTCAAGAAATGAACAGATCATACATTTTAAATTGCTTTTATTATGCTATGTATTTTTTCTATTTTTTATTAGTTGTTAATCTTTTGGGGCCAAATTTATACATTAAACTTTGTATAAATGAGTATAGAAATAAACATAGTTTATATAGTTTGTTAATATTGTAGTTTCAGATATACAGTATGGGGGATGTGTTAGAATGTATTCCTTACAGGTAGGGGGTGGATTACTATGTATTTCAGAAAGTGCCATTCATTTTATCTGTGTATGTTTGTGTGTGTCTGTATGTGTATGAATGTTGTTTGAAATCCAACCCAAGTCCTTGCCCCCAAGTGCTTGCCCCCAACAGTTGCATTTTAGGATACCCATTAGTTTAAAGTGGGCAGTTAGTACAGTCTTTATTGTAAACTTAGAAAATCAGTGGCATTATGTAATAGGCTGACCTGTTTATTACAGCACAATTTTTTAGCATTAGGTAGTCCTTATTGCAGGAATCAGCATGTTTTCATGTAGCAGCTGAGACTCTTGAAAATTAAGAAAATAGTTTATAATGAAATTCTCACATTAAGTTCACCATTAGGTTTTTGTTTATATAGTTGGGAGGCCATATGAAGGACAGCTTCTTTGTATACTAGTAGTTATAGTGGGATCATGGTGATCTTTGCTTTAAGCACTAGTTGCCAGTCAGGTAAATTCAGTACTTAGAACTGTGAAGTTTCTCTATGGATTTAAATGGTGTGCACATGGCTCTCAATTGACAAGAGCAGATGTGAACCAAGTCTAGGACAACTCTGATTTTCAGAAAGATGTTCATAGCAAATGCTACCAGGTGAACCTTTAGTTGACAGACTGTTGAGTGAATATGTATGTCCTTAAACATTTCATGAGCTAGCATGTGGAGTGAGGCCCCAGGGAGCATTAGCAGCTATCTAGCTTAGCTGGAAAAGCCTTTGGTAAGGGTAAGATTCTAGTTCTAGCTATGATGTGTAACTGACTTGAACACATGAGATGAAGCTTTCATACTTCTTTACCATTTTGGCCTTCCATATATAAAAAGCCATAGGGAGCACTAAGATTAAAGTGACCCCTCAGAAAAGTCATATGTCAGTAGTCAAATATTTTAAAGTATCATAAGGATATTTTTAAGTAGTTGTGTTCATTGCTCAGCCAATTACTAGGATGGTACATTGTGCTTATTTGGGTAGTGTGTTCCCTGGAACTGGATGACCAAATACATTTTCTAGCTTTGGCTTTGTTTTGAGCCTTTCAAAGGCTACTGTTTCTTTTGAAATTAGTGTACTCTTGCAGCTTGTTTTTGAAGGAAGTTGATTATACAAGTTGGAAGGCAAATCCAGTATTTAAAAATTTTAAGTTAAATTCAGAAATACAGAAAGATATTTTGGTCAAGTGAACCAGATTCTTAGACCAGACCGTTAATCATTTTCTTAATACCAGTTTTATAAATGTTAATGCTGCAGTAAAGAAATCATTGGTTTGTTTCCAGTTCCTAGGTCTGGGTGGAACAAATTGATTGGGAAGACTAAGGAGAGCTACGTGACTCACATCTTTTTTGGAATGTGAGAAATATAGTTAGTTGGAAATGACTAAATACTTGGAAGAATCGTAGCCATGACTTTGTTTTATCGATATACTTAAGTTACTGTATATTTTCTTCAAGTTTATTCAGTTACTATACATGAATATGACCTCTTTTCTCCAGAAAATCAAATGTGAACTATTAAATTTCCATTGTTTTGAATCCAGATTTATGTATTGGACCGAATGGGGAGGAAAGCCTAAGATTGACAGAGCTGCTATGGATGGAAGTGAACGTACTACATTAGTTCCAAATGTGGGGCGAGCAAATGGTCTAACTATCGATTATGCTAAAAGGCGGCTTTACTGGACAGACCTGGACACTAACTTAATAGAGTCTTCTAATATGCTTGGTAAGGGTCACTGCTGTGTTCTCAGGTGCTGCATATGGAGAAGTCAGTGGTGCCTGCCACTCACTGTCTAGCTGCTGCTGCTGACACTCTGTCAGTAGCGAGCTTGTCTGTTTTGTTATTACTAATAGTCACCCAGTGACCTGGATTTATACATTTACTATGCAAAGTGTCATTCCTGTTGGATTTCTACTGATAGTTTTGAAGGGATACTCTTGAGGTGATACTCTTCTTGTGGCAGAAGGAAATACTGAACTATTAACTATTAAGACCTCATGTAGAGGAAATAAAGCAAAAGTCAAAATAGACTACAGGAATTTAAAGAAACTTAGTGATGTATAGCAGAGATACGAGTTGGAGGCATAGAATCAGACTATAGATGGATTAATTTCAGAGGCCTGGTCTGGTTTTAGAATTGTTTTTATGAATTGTTCTATTTTAAATTGCTTACAAATATAATTTTCATATGTTACCACCCCACAAAGGCACTTGTTCCTCACATGGTTCATTTCTGTGACTCTCCCTTGTCTACTGACTTTCCCAAAATAGGACTCAACCGTGAAGTTATAGCAGATGACTTGCCTCATCCTTTTGGCTTAACTCAATACCAAGATTACATCTACTGGACAGACTGGAGCCGACGCAGCATTGAACGTGCCAACAAAACCAGTGGCCAAAACCGCACCATCATCCAGGGCCATTTGGATTATGTGATGGACATCCTTGTCTTTCACTCCTCCCGGCAGGCGGGGTGGAATGAATGTGCCTCCAGCAACGGGCACTGCTCCCACCTCTGCTTGGCTGTGCCAGTGGGAGGTTTTGTGTGTGGATGCCCTGCCCACTACTCCCTGAATGCCGACAACAGGACCTGTAGTGGTAAGCTACAGTATCCCCCAGAGGCAGCTAGAACTAGAAGAGAAAGCAGCATTTTGAGGATGCTTCCTCCCCTCAAAATATATATCTTTTAAAGTAAAAAGTAGTGTAATTAAAAGAGAAGACTAATGGAAGACATAGAAATATTTGTCACTTAATTCATGATAGAACTTAATTTCATGTTGCCTTTTGCTTTTGAACTTTAAGTATTTAGTGAAAAATGTGTAGAGTGAGAGACACACACGTGTTAATACATAATGCTTATTCATTCATAAAAGAAGAGCAGTACAGTAGAACAAAGAGAATCCTAAAATATACTTCTTTGAAGTACGTAAAACAGGACAAACATAAGCATTTTAGTTGTCTATGAAGCCATACAGGAAATGCATATGAAGAAGTTTAAACCCAGGGTGAAGCAGTAGTTGACAGATGGGGATGGTTCCCATGCCAACATAGTGCGTAGTCACTGCTTGATTCCAGACCTTCTCACCTGGTCATGGTTCAGAATTTGAAATGATGAGAGGGAAGGATGCCTCTATGTCTTAGTCAAAGTTCTATTGCTGTGAAGAGACACCATGACCATGGTGACTCTTATAAAGGAAACATTTAATTGGGGCAGGCTTACAGTTTCAGAAGTTGAATCTGTTCTCATCATGATGGGAAACATGGCAGCATGCAGGCAGACATGGTGCTGGTGAGTTAGCTGAGAGTTCTGTACTCTACAGGCAGAGAATGACAGTTGGGCCTGGCTTGAGCATTTGAAACCTCAAAGCCCACGCTGAGTGACGCACTTCAGCAAGGCCACACCTACTTCAAGACTGAACCTCCTAATCGTGCCACTCCCTAGTGACCGAGCATCAAATCTGTGAGCCTATGGGGGCCATTCCTATTCAGACCAGCACACCCTACATTATTTTTTAAAGTTAACAAAAATTTCACATTAAAAATGAACACATACACAGTGCTAATAACAAAGCATGTTGTGACATTGTTGGCCACAGAAAACCTGGTGTATGACTTAAGTATCTATGGAGACCCATATCTTGAGGATTAGATAAGAAAACAGTACATGATCAAGAAATACATGGACAAATCAGATCAGGAACTCTTGGGAGGCAGGAGACCATCAGTTTGGAAGAAAGTGACAGCTTGGTATAAGATTTTAGATATAATTAGTGAAATCACGTCGTTATCTAAGGAAATGTATCTGAGATCATATAGAGAAGGATTTAATCTATTCTGAAATAGGCTTCAATTATGGAGAAAGAACACAGATTATAATTAAGAGATTATACTTTAGAGATTCCCACATACTGTTTTTTTTTTCTTTATGCAAACTGGTCCCTCCCCTACCCCCTCCGACATGGTTTCTCTGTGTAGCTTTGTGCCTTTCCTGGAACTCACTTTGTAGCCCAGGCTGGCCTCGAACTCACAGAGATCCGCCTGCCTCTACCTCCCGAGTGCTGGGATTAAAGGCATGTGCCACCACCAAACTGTTTTAAGACTTAATTTTTCTCATTTTAAAAATGTGAATAATAGCCGGGCGGTGGTGGTGCACACCTTTAATACCAGCACTTGGGAGGCAGAGGCAGACGGATCTCTGTGAGTTCGAGGCCAGCCTGGGCTACCAAGTGAGTTCCAGGAAAGGCGCAAAGCTACATAGAGAAACCGTGTCTCGAAAAACAAAAAACAAAAACCAAAAAAATGTGAATATTAATAATAATTAGAGTTGCTGTAAGAGTTCAGTAAGATGCATGAAATCAGTGCGTGAAAAGTGATGTGACTCTGGGGAAGACCTGGACTGCTGGTGTGGTGGTGATGGAGAGCTGCTCATGGACTCTGGCTGTGCTTTGGAGTTAGAATAGATCTTGGAAGTGAGCTTGGTGTGGAGAAGAAGAGAGATGCAACAAAGCAAAGATGGTTTCCAAGTTTGGTGTCAGAGTCGATGCACTAACAGAGGGGAGTGGTAAGGCTGAGGGCACGTATTTCAGAGCTGCAGGTATTTATATGAGGTTACCTACAGGGAGAGTTGAATGCTGGGCCCAGCAGACTTGGGAAGGACCAGATAGCAAGTTTCAGGCATGTGGGCATGTAGGCTCTGTTAACACCTCTCAGGTCTTCCAAGCTCTGTCCACTGTAGCGTGACAGCAGCCACAGACAGTGTTAGAGAAAAGGCAGCCACCAGGTTTGGTTTATGGGCCACAGTTTGCAATCTTTTTTCTTCTTGGTTTTTTGAGACAGGCTTTCTCTGTGTAGCTTTGCGCCTTTCCTGGAACTCACTCTGTAGCCCAGGCTGGCCTCAAACTCACAGAGATCCGCCTGCCTCTGCCTTTGCCTCCCAAGTGCTGGGATTAAAGGCGTGCGCCACCACTGCCTGGAAGTTTGCAGTATCTTATGGAGAGAAAAGAACAGATCTAACAGCCAAAAGAATTGGTTCAGAAGGACAAGTTTGCAGAGGGTACTGAGAATTGGCATAGCTGGAGAACTAAGAAAAGTAGAGAGCATCAAGGTGCCAAAGAGAAGAGAGAAGACGGTTTCAAACCAGAGTTGCTGACAGCTGCTGAGAGGTTAGAGGAGGTCGTAAGAATAGCATCCATCCTTTAAGCAGTTGCCATCCATTTCACCTAAGGTGGGTCTTCTGACCACAAAGACAGTAACTTCAGGAAGGGTTGGTGAAAGACAGGTTGGAGGACACTTGGACAGTGAGTCGTACAGAGAAAAGGAGGAGCAATGACGCACTTGGGTATTCCTCTCGAGAACCTCAGCTTTTGAGTGGGAGGAGAAAATGGAGTGAGAACTGTTCGAGAATAGAGACATAAGGAACATGGCAAGACTTCCTGAGATCATTGTGTATGTAGCTGCGTATGTCCTGTGGGTTGGTTGGTGAGTGAACACCATGGGGAATTTCTGTTGAGTGCCCCTAATATCTGTGTTTGACTGTCTGATTCAGTCAGCGGTGCCTCAAGGCGTCTTGTGTGCTCTTATGAGTACTCTGTAATATTTGCATGGAGTTATATTATGTATTATGAGGAGCTTAATGCATAAGTTCTTGCTTTCAAAAGTGTTTCAGCATTGTTTAATTTGCATCTTGACTGAATTTCAAAGCCAATTCAGACCAGCTTTTCTCTGGTCTCAAATGTGACAGTGCTCTATCTCATTCAGAGTAAAACCCCCGACTTTTACAAGGCCTTCAGGGCTCAACATGAGCAATATCCCTCACTTGAAAACAGCTTCTTTATCCCTCACTTCATAACTACATCTTTAGCCCACATACCCTAGTTTCCTTGTCTAACCCCAGTTTCTACTATTCTTTCGTTTGCTTTCTCTATAGCAGACACAGTGGTCTCATTGCTTGTTTCAAATTGCAAATCAGTCCCATTTCAGGACCGTTGAGCTGCTTATTTCATCTGCTTGGCATGCTCTTCCTGCAAGACTTTACATGGCCATCCTTCATGTCTAAGTCTCTGCCTAATTGTGACCTGTGTAACAAGGCCAAGTTTGCAGCACTTAAAATGGAAAAAACTTCCACCAGGATCATTCCCACAGCCTCCTTCCCAATAGCACTTAGAAGACTTTGTGTATAATATAATGTATATACTATTATTTATATACTATTACTTCCTTTGTTATGTTTATTGCTTACTGTGTATTCCATGAAGCAGTAGTAGCTTTGTTTCTGTTTTCTTCATTGATGTATCTGAGGTGCTTCTGGTCCATGGTAGACAAATGGAGTAATGAGTGAAGAAATAAGGTGGTTCTATTAATTCATATAAGGACGTTTGGCCTTCCACTCAGTAGCTTTTGTGATCTTGAGGAAAACTTAACTTTTCTGAATTTGCTACCTATAAAATGATAATGTAGGGATTGAATGGCATTCTGTGTGACATGTTGGACTATAGGAATTAAATGACACCCTGTGTTGAAATAAAGGGATTACATGGCATTCTGTGTGACTTGTGATGTGTTGGGATATAGGGATTAAATGGCATTCAGTGTGATGTGTGACATGCGACATGTTGATAATATACGGATTCAATGGCATCCTGTATGATGTATGACATGTTGGATAGCTATTTTTCAATAGCTATTTTTTTCTTTCCTTCCTCTAATTTTATTGTTACTTGCAAAATCAAGGCTATAGGGCTATCTTTGTTGTCATTAAGTGCTTATTTATTTAGGTCATTTTTTTATTCTTTCATTTAATATGTCTTAAGCACTACATGCTAGGCCTTATTTTAACCAGTGGAAAAAACTGACAGTGAATGAAATAGACAGAAATGCCTGCTTTCACCAACCCTACATTTCCCTGGGACTGTTAAGATAAACAATATGAGGGCTCTATGGTGATAACTGTTATGCAGGAATATTAAAAGGAAGAAAATGTGGTGACTGAGATTGCAGTGTTAATAAGGTTACTGGGAACTCCATGCTAAAGAGACATTTATATCAAGACTTGAAGGAAATGAGATGAGCTATGAGGGTGTCCACATCTGACTTGATAGGTTACTCAGGAGGTTGGTAGTGGAGTGAATAAGGACATGGAGAGATGAAAGCAGCAGCCAGATTTTACAATCCCATCTTCAGTCCTGAAGTGGCCCTATGGTACCTTGTGTAAACAGGAAAATGTTGATCCCTTGGAACTCCCGCCACGTGCATACCTTGGCTCATAAAGTGAAGGTTGCATATCTGTCCTTACTCAGGGCTGTTGGTACCGTGGATGGCATAGTCCTAGTTTGTAGGCTTGCCCGTGGAGATCATCCTGTTCATAGCAGAGCAACGCCTCCTTTGACTTAGATGAACGCTGGCGCTGACAGAGGACAGCTGACACTGCCCCCGGCGCACACCTCCAGCCTCTGAATCTTGTTTTCATTGTGGAAAGACCAGGAAAACCAGGGACTATTTAATTTTATTTTACTTTGAGACAGGGTTTCCTAGGCTGACTTAAAGCTCTTCCTTGACCTTTTCATCCTCCTGCCTCATCTTTCAAGTGCTGGGATTATAGTAATGTACCACTCAGCTTAGTTTTTTTTTTTTTTTTAAAGAACTTTCTGTAGGAGATGTGAGAATGTGGTTGAGGATGAGAGGATAGAGTTAGACTTTAAATGGCGTATGTTGTATCACTTTAAGCATGGATTGTAAGAAACTCAGCTTCCCCTGAGAAATAGTTCCCCACTTATAATTGTTAATTTTTTAATTAAAATTTATAATCATACTTCAGTTTAATTGTGTGTGTACGTATGCACACACTACACGCTTATCCCATGGCATACATGTGGAGGTCAGAAGACAACTTTAAGGAGTTGAAGTTCCTTTACCGTGTAGGTCCTGGAGATGGAACTTGGACCACAAAGTTTCGTGATAAGTACCTCTACCTTACTGAGCCATCTAAGTGTGTTCTTAGAGTTGAACTCTACTAAAATTGCTCATGGTTGTTAGGTCAGTGTGTGATGAAGATTTCTAGTAGACTGGGTACTTCGTGAATTTTCTAAGCTGGACGTGGACTTTTCGCTATGAAGGACTTAATGCGGAAGTACAGTGTTCCAAGTATCAGGCTTCATTGCCAGTGCCAGTGAGTTCCTTTGTATGTACTTGAGTGTGAATGTAAAGACAGACCCAACCACAAGTAAGAGCCATGAGGACTGGGAGTTAGGCAGGGTGTTCTGGCATGGCCTCCTGAGTTTACATCCTTGAGAAGGACCTGCTTTTGCTGAGCACCAAGAAAAAGAAAAAAGTAAAGTATTGTTATCAAATTTGTGTATATAAACTATAGGAAACCCCGCTCTCCCACTGCCGTCAATTTCTGTGGTTTCCATTACCTGTAGTCAGTCTCCATCTGGAAATAATGCATGGAAAATTCCAGAAATAATTCGTAAGTTTTAAATTGCATGTGGTCCTGAGTATCACAGTGCAACTTATTTCAGCCTACCCAGGATCTGAATTATTATTTCTTTGTCTCACGCTTCTGCGCTCTATGTACTGTCCTCCTGATAGTTCCTTAGCAGCCATCTCTGATGTCAGAGCAGCTGTCGCAGTATCCTGAATGCTGTATTCAGGTGATCTTAATTCTCCTTAGTAGTCTCCCCAAAGCAAAAAGGGGCAATTATATTATGGTATATTATTATAATTTTTCTTACTCCCCTGTTTGCCTGTATGTATGCATGTCAATCACAGGTGTGCCTGGTGCTCATGGATATAAGAAAGGGGCATTGGATTCCCTGGAACTCAAGTCAGAGGAAGCTGTGAGCCACCATGTGGGTGCTGGGAATTGAACCTGGTACTGCAGCAAGAAAACAATTTCTCGGAACCAGTGAGCCATCTCTCCAGCCCTCGGTTACATTGTATGGTAGACATATGTGTAGGGAAGAATACAGCAAATACAGGATTTGTTACTGACAAACTGTCTTTATCAATAATGGGGTGGGCTATGATTTAAAAATGCTTTTAGGGTTTCCTGTTGGTAACACTCTCAAATGTCATCTGTTGTTTGGTTGTTTCATTTGTTTTGAAGATAAGTTCTTATCATATAACCCAGGCTGGCCATGAAATCACTCAGTAGCCTCCTGCCTCCACTTCTCAGATGTTTTCCTGAACTGAAGATGACTACAGAGTAGTGAAATACTGTCCCTGGGAAAGGAAGTGTTGTCTTGGATACACTTTCTTATTTTATAAGTTAGAGTGTCATCTTCCCATGGAAACAGAACACTTTTTAGTAAAGATAGAAATACTTACTTTTTTTTTTTTTAATAAGTTCCCTTTATTTTATGTGTAGGAATGTTTGCCTGTGTGTAAGTATGTGTGCCATGTACGTGCCTGGTGCTCATGGGGGTCACAAAAAGATGTTAGTTCCCCTGGATTTGGGGATACAGACACTTGTGATCTACCACATGAGTTCTGGGAACTGAACTCACATCCTCTACAAGAGCACCAGGCACTTTTAACCACTAAGCTATTTTTCCATAACTTCTTATGTCTTTATCAAATGATTCATTAAAAATAAGATCTCTGTTATTTCTGCAAGACAGAAAAATAGGCTAGATGATTAAAAATCAATGCCCAGAGACATCTAGCTACAAAATTTTAAAGTATTTTTCTAATTAAGCATTTTAATTACTAAAAATGAAATACAAATCATTTATAGGTTTCATCCCTTTCCTGTAGCTCTAGAAGTAAGCCATTTCCCAGCTAATACTCTTATCTATGCAGATGCAACTGAGCATTGGATTTTTTTTTTTATCAAATGCAAAGCTCTCTATTAAATGAGAGAAGACATATTAGTTATTTACAATGGAGCCGAAGGTCTAGTACATATGTAAGATATGAAGATCTAGTACTGTGTAACTGAAAAATAGTTGAGTAAAGGCAAACTGGAAAGGAGTAAGTATTGCTCAAGAGACACAGAGTAAGCACTAGATTCTAGAAGTGGGAGGATCCCGTCTGTCTGGGAGTGGAGAGATGAAGAAAAGCTGAAGAAGACGTGTCAGTGCTGTGGTCCTGGAGGTGTGGGTGGGATTTAGAACCAAACCAATGACAGAATTCAAACAATTTATAGCTGGCTCTATAACCGGAATGCTAATTATTCTCTCTCTGAAGGAAGTTTCTGGAGGTGTGCCCAAGGGTTCTCCCCTCAGCCTTACTGTGTCGTTCTGTTGGAGATACAGGAAACAGGCTCACCAGGCTTGGGGTGGTAGAGAAGAGTCACTGTATTTCACATTTGCTCTTTTCTCTTTCAAGCTCCTACCACTTTCCTGCTCTTCAGTCAGAAGAGTGCCATCAACCGCATGGTGATTGATGAACAGCAGAGTCCTGACATCATCCTTCCTATTCACAGCCTTCGGAATGTCAGGGCCATTGATTATGACCCTTTGGACAAGCAGCTCTACTGGATTGACTCTCGACAAAACATGATCCGAAAGGCACAAGAAGATGGTGGCCAGGTAACTCGGGCTTAGTCCATTTCTGACTAGACTTGCTCTAACCATCCACACTGCTTCATCTGCCTACAGGGGAAATGGAAATCTAGGGCTAGAATTTTTGTTTGTTTGTTTGTTTTTTATTACCCAGAGTACTGTACTCTGTGTACATTATTATTTGATGATGGCTTTGGGTTGGAAATTTTATCAGGGAGGCGAGGTCATTAATGACTTCCACCACTGGTTATATCCATTCATGCCATGTTTTTTCATTATCCTGCTATGTGTAGTAGAACACGTTTTGAAATCAAGTAGGTCTTTGTTCTGATCCCAGCTCTATCACTCACTAGAAATCTTAGAAACGTTTTTTTGGTTGAACAGAATGCAAGGCATAAAGCCCCTACTTGTTTAATGGTAAGGATTTTTATAGAGAATAATTATATCACTAATTACCATTTATTTAAAAGTCTCATTGATTAAGAAACAGGATAATTTTAGTAAAATTAAAAATACCAATAAATTGTTATTGATTCTGTATTTTTTGGTTACTATTTGGGTACTTCAAAATGAGAATAAGGATATTATCAGTCTTATCTGTGCCTATGTGCCATTGTGGATTTCAATACTATTATTTATACTTCCTTCCTTCTGGATTCAATCAGTGTAAGCTTAAGATTACAATAGCTATCTGTTGTCTTCCTTATGGCAAAGATGTTAAATTGGATTTTGAATGTGTTAAAATTTAAGGAAGTATTACTAAATTTTGTTGTCTTACCTTACAAGTAAAGAACAGGGAGGGTGATACATACAGGAGTACTCAGGGATCATTTACCAATATGGTCATTCTTTGTACTTCAGCTGTACCCTATACTATGTAGACCAGTACTAGTGACCAGTAACTGGTAGAGAGAAATTATACAGCCAAAGACAGCAACTAAATTAACTAACTTTTTACAAGGCTATGCTAACTCAGAGAGTAAATGAAATAAAATTTATTTGGACAGAATAAATAGACAAAGCTGCTTTTAGTTGGCTTTGTAAGAAAAAATTAACTGCTGGTGGCCATGTCAGAGGAGCAGCAGGTGGCAATTGAAGTTCAAGGTTTCAGCCCACCAGGAGGAAACACCTTGATGAGTGAATCTCAGATAGGCAAGGCCTGAGACCCCAGACCCCAGACCCCAGAATGTTTTTTGCTTCTTCTGTGCCATTTGCTGCTGCCATCTTTCTCTGGTATCTAGCATGGTGTGAATGGGTGTGGGGAGACCCCACTGCCTGTAATGTAGTGTGTTTATCTCATGGCAACATTCCTTTCAACTGGGTGTTTTTACCTTGGATTATTATGAAGACAAATTCTTTTTAAGCTGTACTATCTAATTGATAATAATAATGTTAGTTTAAATAGAGTTTTGATGATTACAAATAAAAACAAAGTGTCACACATCTAGAAGTCATGAGTTTCTATTGAGAAGCCCTGTAGACTGTGGCTTAGGTTAAGGAAAACAGTTGAGTCCCAGTTAGCCCAGCTAGCTTAAATTCTTTTAATCTTAGTGTTGAGAAATGTGTTCACAGGTTTCAGAGTGCATAATAGCTGAAACAAAGCTTTGAAAATAATTTAAAGTTTGACTAAGATGTGTACGTGTGTGTGTGTGTGTGTGTGTGTGTGTGTGTGTGTGTGTGTGTGTGTCCGTCCGTCCCTGATTGTATTTTGTTTTTTGTTTTCTCCAGAATAGGGTTTCTCTGACTTGGTACTGTTGGTCTTGGGGGCTGCACAGTTCTTTGCTGTGAGGCTCCCCTATGTATGGACTGCAGGATGTTTAGAAACAGTCTTGGTCTTCACCTCATATCTCCAGTAGGTTTCTCACATTTTGATATTGAAATATCTCTGGACATTTCCAATGCCTGTGGGTGCATTATCACCCTCGGTTGAGAACTACTGCTTTAGAGGTATCTCCTGGTTGTGATTGGACCCACAGTTGTTTATAGTTATGGGGGAAAGCTGTTACCCTCTCTGATCAAGACATTGTCAGATTCTTGGACTATCTCTGCTGTCCTCAGCATCCTCTTCTGCTCCATAAAGCAGCCCAAGGGGATATTTGAAATGCTTGTTAACAAACAGGTACATCACTCAGAAAAACCCTTTCTGTAAGAAATGTCCTCAGCTGGGCCGTGGTGGTGCACACCTTTAATCCCAGCACTTAGGAGGCAGAGGCAGGTGGATCTCAGGCCAGCCTGGTCTACAAAGTGAGTTCTAGGACAGCCAGGACTGTTACACAAAGAAATCCTGTCTCAAAAAAACAAAAAACAAAACAAAAATGTTCCCAAAGAACAGATACCCTTCTGAGGGGTGACCACAAAAATTAAGAATTTTGTTCATGGCCTTATAGTTGTCTGGTGTGGAATCTAACTTGTATGGTTTTTTTTTTTCCTTTCTTTAGGGTTTTACTGTAGTTGTAAGCTCAGTTCCAAATCAGAACCTTGAAATACAGCCCTATGACCTCAGCATTGATATTTATAGCCGTTACATCTACTGGACCTGTGAAGCTACCAATGTCATTGATGTGACAAGATTGGATGGGCGATCAATTGGAGTGGTTCTGAAAGGCGAACAAGACAGACCCCGAGCCATCGTGGTAAACCCTGAGAAAGGGTATGTCACAGAGGCCGCCCTGGAGGCTTTGCCCTCCTCACACCAGCAAGCGACTCCACTCAGTGCTTCCCATCCGCTTGGCTCTGCACTGCTTACTGCTTTTTCTGATTCACTGGTTTGGTTCTAAATCCCACCCACACCTCCAGGACAGTCTCACTGCCACATCCTCTGTGTAGCTTTCCTTGACCTCTTTTGTCCCTAGCCAGATGTGATTCTCCCACTTCTGGGATCCCACTGCTCACTCTAGGTCTCTTTAGTCATGCTTATTCCTTTCCAGTTTGCCTTTACTCAGCTATTTTTCGGTTACATAGTTATTTATTACTAGACTTTCAGCTACATTGTAAATAACTAATATGTCTTCTTTCAACAGCTTTGCATTTGATAAAAAATCCAGTGTTCATTTGTATCTGAATAAGTGATAAGGGCATAATCAGGAAAATGGCTTACTTCTAGAGTTACAGAAAAGGGATGAAATCTATAAATGATTTGTATGTCTCATTAATAATTAAAATGGTTAATTAGAGACATACCTTAAAAGTTTATAACTAGACCTCTCTGGATATTGATTTTTCTTTTTAATCTATGAAACTTAACTCTCTGAAAACTCCTTGGTACCCTGTTACTATTATTAAAAGTAATAAATATATCCCTTGATCTTTAAAAGAAACAGGTGGGGGGCAGGGAGAACCTGGAGAGAGTTTAATCAGTAGGGGCTCTCAGTTGTGGTTAGGAGGGAGCCCTCTATAATTCTAGTGCGCTATTGCACAGCAGGCTGATTGCTGAGAGAGACTGACTGCAGAGTGCATGCCCCAGAAAGCTAGAAGAGAGAATTTGTTCATTGTAAACAGTAAATCCTTGAGGATAGAGATATATTTAACCTAGCACTGAAATATATACATGCATTGAAATATACAATTACTCCATTATATACATAATTTTGTGTGTTTGCATATAGCTAAAAATTTTTAAATAGGTTTAAAAGTATTTTACCTCTATTTATCCTTATAAATTTGTGTTTGTGTTTTTGGGGATCAAACCCCAGGCCTTGCACATGTTAAGCAACCACATTTGTCTTAACAATATTCTCAGTTTGTCTGATTCTTCTGTAATTTTTTATTTTCTCTTGTTATCTTCAGATACATGTATTTTACCAATCTTCAGGAAAGATCTCCTAAAATTGAACGGGCTGCTTTGGATGGAACAGAACGGGAGGTCCTCTTTTTCAGTGGCTTAAGTAAACCAATTGCTTTGGCACTTGATAGCAAGCTGGGCAAGCTCTTTTGGGCCGATTCAGATCTCCGGCGAATCGAAAGCAGTGATCTCTCAGGTACCCTAAAAGTGTTTCTGTATTTTGATTTGAGTTTTAAGATGATTTCATTACTGCGAATTTGTACTTTCCTTGTGTTATTTTTGTGCATGATTATAATTTTATTAATTAAATATATTCTGTAATATGTTAGTTGGAGACATCTTTGAGATTATTCCATTGTTTCCTAATTACTTAGCAGTTTCATTGATCTGAAAATTATGTATGTGTTTTTTCTTTCCTAATTCTTCTACTCTACTTTTATATTCTGTCCTCTCTGAACTCTAATCTGATTGGTCTCTCTGTTCATTTTTCCATATGAAAGTTTTCATGTGTAAACTTTTAGAAACACTTTTACATATGCAGACATTGTTCTGAAGTGTGTTTTGTGACATTGCTTCTGAAGTCTTGGGAGTATTTTCACTCAAGGAAAAGCCTGGCTCAAGCTGGTACTCACCCTCCACAAAGTCATCACTTTTCTCTTTTGCTCCTCTCTGGTCTTCTGTTTGTAATCAAAGTTACCTCTCCTGTCATAATTCATGATGTCCAGTCGATGCATGGCCTCCTTAGTGACCAGGAAAATAAAATTGAAATAATTTACTGTTTATTTTAATCAGAGTGGCAAAAGTATGTTAAGGTTTATTATACCCAGTTGCCAGGATGTAACATACTCTTCTAAGGGCAGAGCTTGAGCTCTATGGTATAGCATCTGCCTAAGGTACTATGCTGAGTCCTATCTCCAGCACCACAAATCCAGGACACTTTGAGGTAAATAGAAAAAGTAGAACCTTTAGTGGACAGTCTGCCAGTAATTATGAGGATTTAAAAAAGATAGAACCTTTGATTAGCAGTTTTTCTTTTAAATGATTGTCTTACAGAAATACTAACAGAGTAACCACTGAGCATTATTTGTGATAGATGGGATAATTTAAGAAAAGCTGGCAAGAAACAAGCCAACCTAAAGGTTGGGCATTTATAATTAAGAATAAGCCTCTGTGTGTGATTTATTTGGGAGCCAAGTGGCAGGCCCTCCAAAAGAGCAAAAACAAACAACAATACACCCCACAGGAAATTCTTACACATGAGTCCATTTCTGAGTTATATTTCATAAAACTTTTGATGTTGCTTCTTGTATATGGTCTTCCTTTTTTCCTCAGAGGAGATGTTCTGAAGCCCCCTGAGAGCATGTGTGACACCAAACTAGAGGTGAAGAATCACCTTCCCTGCTTCAGCATTACCACACCACCCAGAAGTTAATCTCCCCTCCTTTGTATTACTGTTTTTGGACACTGAGTCCAGGATATTATAGCATTAGTCCATAACCTGTGAGTCAGATGGACAGTGTGTGTTCTGAGAAGCCAGGTGGAATTAGAGGGGAATTGTTTTTGGTAGATGTCTCAGGTGTTTTCAAAAAGTGGCAAATGCTAAGCATAGAACTCTGGGCTTACCACCACTGCTTCATCTGGACAAGCATTGTTTTCATCTGCTTTATTGTGTTAGTTTTTATAAAATTTAATTTGAAAATGGATTCTGCTAAAAACAAATTGGAACCTGCTGTTCCGAGATCTTTGCTATATTTCATAACTAGAAAATTCCCTGTGTATGGGAATTAATTCCTAGTTGCACATGTCTGGTTTAGCACTGTTTTCTGGTATATGTAAGTCTGTGGTTGCAGAGCCTGTATTTCCCATACTTGTAGGATCTATCTGGTATTCATTGGACAACTGTTGAAAGTGAGATTTGGCCACACAAATCATTGCTGTTGAATATTTTCCTTTTCTAAGGTGCCAACAGGATAGTGCTAGAAGACTCTAATATCTTGCAACCTGTGGGTCTGACCGTGTTTGAAAATTGGCTCTATTGGATTGATAAGCAGCAGCAAATGATTGAAAAAATTGATATGACTGGTAGAGAAGGAAGAACCAAGGTCCAGGCTCGAATTGCTCAGCTGAGTGACATTCATGCAGTAAAGGAGCTGAACCTTCACGAATATAGTAAGTGACGTGGATGGTGCAAGGAGCACTGTGTATGTTGTAAGAAACAAGACATGGTTTTGTGGCTTTTTGACATCATTTTTCTTCTTCACTTTGTTTTTATATTTGGAAAAACACTTTGTTGAACTTTTTAATAACATAAACAGTGTATGATTTTGGTTTATCAAATCTGCTTAAATCTTATTACGAAGGGGTGAAAGCAGGAAGATGGCGTGTTTGAAACTAGCTTGGACTATCTAGACCTAGTCTCAGTGAAACCAAGACCTGAGATGTAGCTTAGTGGTAAAGCACTTGCTTACCACCCACAGGCCCTGGGTTTGGTCTCTAGACCAAGTAGACAAATGAATAGTATTGTATTGAAAGTACTTGAAAGACAGAACCACCTCTATTGATGCATATTCAAATATAATAAGTAATGTCTATTTTGGGCAATCTGTTCCTTAATAGTTGACAATCTCATTATCAACACAGACTGATACAGCACCCATATTAGGATAGAAAACAGATCATAATTGATGGCTGTATTGCATAATGGTAGCGATACAGTAACAGCAAAGGTCAGGTTGTTTGTAACACAAGCTAAATAGAAAATTGAGAGCAGTGACTTCATAAGTACAAGTTGTGAAATAGACATTGAAAAGTTACCTAATGGCTTATCTTTTTAGCTTTACCCAAGTAAGAGGAAATTAGATCTTTGTCATGCTATCATTGGCAATGGACCAAGCAAGTAATTTTGTCTGTTTCAGCTCCATGTGACCATTAAGTTTTTCCTTCTACTAACTTTAATTTTCTACAAATTCTTTATTAAAATATGCTTTTAAAAATGAAATAATTTTACCTTTTAGAAAAGTAGAAGTTCTGAGTTAAAATCTTTAGAAGAGAATTCTGTTTTAAGAAGACTATGTAAGTGTCAGCAGTCTCCCCTGGCAGTTTTTCTAGGTCTATAAATCGTTTTTTTTTTTATTATTTGGCTTTTTGAAACCAGATCTTGTTGTGTGGTCCTGGCTGGCCAGGAACTTGCTGTGTAAACAGTCCTGGCCTTAACTTATGGGATCTTCCTGCCTCTGCATCCTAAGTACTGGAATACAGTTGCACCCCATCATGGCCAGCTAATATCTTAAAGAATTAACATAAGCCCCTTGACAGTTAAGTTTTATTTATTGTATTTATTCATAGTTTTGTTCATTGTTTTCTTAGGTTTGTTGTTTGTATAGTGCTGAAGATTGAACCCAGGGCCTCACTCCTGGCAAGCACTCTTACACAGAGCACTTTCCCCCAGCCCTTGCTTATATTTTAAAATGAAATATGCATACCTATATAACATGCTAGATGTTATACATGCCTGTAATCTCAGTAGTTTTAGAGACTAGGAGAAGAGGATCACTTGAACCTAGGTTTAAGACTAGCTCAAATGATAAAGACTCCCATCTCATCCCCCTCTCCATGCAGTGGTTATATAAAGGCGTTTTGCTATAGGTTATGTAGGGATAAAATGTGGAATTACACTGTGTAGAAATAAAATCAGAACTTATTTTATATTTAGTATTGTTTGTGATTCATAAATCATTGACTTTGATAATTACATTCTTTCCCAGGACAGCATCCTTGTGCCCAGGATAATGGTGGCTGTTCACACATTTGCCTTGTAAAAGGAGATGGCACTACAAGATGCTCTTGCCCCATGCACCTAGTTCTGCTTCAGGATGAGCTCTCCTGTGGAGGTAAAGATGCTAAAATCATTCTTGTGCAAACCAGAATTCCACATCTTGATCTAGCCATCTATGGCTAGGCAGTGAAGTTGCTATTTTTCCTGACTTAATTGGTCATTTGTGTTCTATTTATTTATTTGCACATCTACCAGGCTTGCTTTTTTTCCTCTCTGCTCCCCAGACTCTTCCCTGCTACTGCAGCCTCCAGTGACCACCATTTTAACAAACTTGGTTTCTGTGTGTTTGATTTTATACACTCCACATCAAGCGCGATGAAGTGATGTTTACCATTTTGTGCCTTCCTCACTTCATTTAACATTTTCTAGGCTTATTTCTTTGTAGCAGATGATAGGAGTTTCTTTTTTAAAAGTCAAATAGTATTTCATTACATATGTGTTGTGATATTTTCAGTCTATGAATCATATTTCATAGTAATACAGTAAGTAGCTTCCTCCACTCCTTGAGAGAGTGGGAAGATGAATTCACTCTGCTCTTCACCCATTGAATTCTGGATTTTGTTGGTGTAAGTGTCATTGTTTGGCGTGTGTCCAGTGAAAAGAATATTCTTTTGTTCAGCTCCATCAGGATTTTTCTGTTGTTTTTAAAAAAAGAGCAAAACAAAAATGACCCAACAATGAAAGAAAATTAAAAAACCCTGTGGTGTGTCGTCTGCACATCTGTGGGGTGCACACATGCATGGTCCCTTGTGGAGTGCAGAAGATGCTTCAGTGTTCCTCATCGTCCACCCTGAGAAAGTGTCTGTTTATCACTGCACTCCAGGCTGGCGGGCGGTGAGCTGCTGGGCATTCTGTCACTTTCCACCTTGCATAGGGGAGTGGGATTGCAGGCGCACACTCCCACACCCAGCCTCGTGGGTTCTCACCTCAGGTCCTCACCTCACACCTAGTGTGCCTTCTCCCCAGGGTGTGGTCATGCAGTGAGTTTTGTTGTCCCTCGTGAGACATAACAATTGGTATTCTCTTCTGTTAAATAATAGTGTGGCGGCATTGAGCACCATGATAATATTCATACTCTTAATTAAGAAGTTCTCTTCCTAGAGATAATTCACAGTTAATTTTAATTGAAGAAAAAAAAAATGATTGAGGCATACTGTTACCTGCAAAAGCAGCGATTTAAAAGAAATCTAGTTTCTTTTATTTGGAAAATTGTTAAATACAATACTGAGTTAAAATACTTTGTTTTATTTATTTATTTTTTGGTACCAGGAATTAAACCTAGTATAATGTTGTGGATATTAGTCAAGTGCTCTACCACTGAGATTTATCTCCAGCCCAAGTTAAATATTGTGATTATGAAGCTTATATAAAAATGTATTTGGCTTAAGGGGGAGGTGGGAGTGGGGGTCCGTTTGTTTGCTTGTTTCATTGTAATACTGAGACTCACCAACTCACCACCATCCCTTCATTTGGGATCTTTTTTTTTTTTTTCATTTTTATTTGTTTATTTATTTATTTTTCTATTATCAGCTTGATACAGTACAAATTCTTTTTTCCCTTTTCTATTTTAATAAAAAGAAAAAAGGGAAAAAGTTAAAACTAATATTAAAAAAACTATATACAAAAGTACAATAACTATATGCCACATATACAAGCAATAAATACCTAAACAATGTCTAGTCCATTTGCATTTGACAAATTCAGAGAAAATAATTCCATTACCTATCCTATTTTGGTAAGTCCAAAATGTACCTGATTCATTTTCTATCCTAACTTATATTACTAACAGAACTATCTTACAACGTCTTTCAAATTTATACACTTATACCTCTTTAGTGAGTTTCTTTTCTAAAATTCTTAACAAAGAAAACTATAACTATCTAATCTTCAACTATAACTAACTAATCTTCAACTCCCTCAGAGACCCAAGAAGGAAATAATATTACCTAATAAAAAATAAAAACAGGAAATGCATGCAAGCAGCTTCCAGAAAAAATGTGAGTTGACAGAAACAGCCAGCTGCCTGAACAGTCACCTGAGGTTTCTCTACAGTGTTTGGGCATCATCTTCAGCCTGTAGGCTTAGCGTATCTGACAGACTCATTTGTGAAGTAGGATGTACACAAGGTCAACAGTTCAACCTCACATTGGGTGAGAGCAGTCCATGTACCAGAAACACCTGAATTTCACTAGTGTCATGTCATTATTCAGGATTTTAAATTCTGGAAATTGTTGATGTTTTTTTAATTCAGCTGTCTATTCTTCTTGGCTGTGTGTGTGTGTGTGGCTTCATATCAGCATCCTCTTCTCCACATCCCTCTATTAAATGCCAGTCTACCATTTAGAGGTGTGAGCTTAGTTACTCTTCAAGAATAACTGTTTCAGCTGCTGTTCCACTGCACATCAGAAGCCATTTGCTTCCTGCTAGATATGAGTGAAGGTATCTTTATTCTGAAAAGAAAAATTTTGGGTTAATTGTCAAATTCTAGGAAAGGTAGCTATATCCTTTGTTATCCAGTCTGTGCATAATGCCAAAGTTCAGGGTTTATCTCAAGTCCTTATTCAAGTAGTCTTTGAAACTGGATCATCTCAGCTAGCCATCTCAAAATTGCTCTGAGCAGTTTGTTGTCTCATTTGGGATCTTAAATGTGTCCCATTTCAAGGCTATGTGTTACCAGATTGTGGCGCTGGTAGGTGTTGGAATCTTTGGCAGTTTTTGAAATAGAGTTTGACTGTGTTATCCAGGCTAATCTCCATTGCCAAGCTTAGTTAGTTTTCCTATTTTAGCCCCTTAGTTGTAGACAAATTTCTAAATGGTCTTATTAAATAAAAAACACAGAGCCAAATATAGGGATAAAAGCCTTAGAGAGATCAGGGAAACAGGGAAAGCCACCAGCCAGCCTTACCTCACCAACTCTGCAGCTTCCAAATTGGAGTTCCTGTCTTACCAACGCCTTTATTGCCTTGATGTTCTGCCTTCTCACTGGCTCTTAGCCCAGCTACCTCACTTCCTTGTCACTCTCTGTCTGTACAGACCTCCAGGTCTCTATGGTTGGTACTGGGATTAAAGGCTTGTGTCACCACGCTTGGTTCTGTTTCCTAGTGTGGGCTTGAACACACAGATACCCTGCCTGATAAGTGATCAGATTAAAGGTGTGTGCCACCACTGCCTGACTTCTCTGTTTACGTAAAATGGCTTGCTATTTCCTCTGATCTCCAGGCAATCTTTATTAAAGCACAAATAAAATATCACCACACTTAGTGCCAGGTATCTGCCACTGTACCTGGCACAGAAAATCTTATTACAGTGATGTTTTCTCACTACAAGTGTAACTGAGCAGTACAGCACTTGGCCAGCTTGTGTGAGGCCTTGGGTTCTGTTCTGAACATTGCAATTTAATATTAGAAAGTGTTTTCTTCTGTGAAGACAGTTCTGTAAAGACACATATTTCTGTAAATCAAGATTTAAAGAGAATATATTCAGAATATAAAAAATAGTGATAAAAGAGGATTACAAATTCGAGACAGGGTTTCTTTGGTGCCTTTCCTGGAACTCACTCTGTAGCACAGGCTTACCTCAAACTCACAGAGATCCACCTGCCTCTGCCTCCCGAGTTCTGGGATTAAAGGCCTGTGCCACTCCGGCCCAGCCCTGTCTGACTTTTTAAAGATACAGTCGATGTATGTCTCCATAGCAGCGGCAGTGCACTCTGCTTTGATTGCAGGAGCCTGAAGTTGAAGGTAGTGCATGCGTATGAGAACACGGAAGCACGCATGGTGTGCACTTGACCATAGTACTGAATCTCAGAAGTTTGTTCACCAGGAGATCCAGACCCAAAAAGTAACATTCCATGATTCCATGATGTTACGTCAGGAGGAGCTACTTTGTGTGACTGAAAATCAGAATCGCTTCTTCCTGAAGGAACTGACTGCTGTGGGATACTAGGGTGTTCCTCTTCAGAGACCCAAAGTACACAGAAAACTTAAGCCCTAGAATTTGAAATACAGAGAGGGAAAGCGGGAAGCATTGCTGGGCATGGAGGTGTGCGCTTGTAGTTCCCACAGAGAAGCTCAGACAACTTAGAGAGACATTGTCTAAAAAGGGGGAAACTATTAGAACAAATAAATTAAGACAAAATCAAACCTTGCACAATAATATAGGCATATTTAATACAATTGAACTAGAATACCTTTGTATGGTTAAATTAGTAAAATTTTGTTACATATATTTTATTACAATTTTTTAAAAAAATGTGTTTCTGTATAGAGCACTAGACTTGCTTTAAAAACACATCCTGAAGAAATTTCTCATGGCGTTAATAACATAAAACTGAATCATGACCTTATCTTCCAGTTAGAAGATGTCTTTTAAAGGGGCTTAATTTTTTGCTGATAAAGTGACTTTTTTATTTGTATATAAAATGAATAGCAAGCTTTAGAAAAGTGTACAGCTGTGTGGTCACCTGACTCAAGCTGTGGAATGTTGCTGTTAAGAAAGTACTCTTAAAGGTGGTATGCTCGGGAGGTGGAGGTCAGCCTGGGCAGTGTGAGGTCCTTTTTCAAAATAACAACAGCAACACAAAGGAATGAGCAAGTAGGCAGGGTAGGAAAGGCCAGAGCAGTCACAGAGGAAAGTGTTGGACTGTGCACAGTGATGCACTCCTGTAATCCCGCACTGGGCCACAGAACGAGTTAGAATCTGGACTGGGCTGTTCAGTGGGAACTTGTCTCAATCCTCCACTGCAAGAGAGAAGGGAGAGGAGGAAGCAGAGGGACAGAAGGAAATGGGGAAGAGGAAGGAGCCCTCGGGTTCTTAGCCGGCAGCTCTATGTAGTAGAGGCACCTACTCTTCAGACTGTAGCTCGATACAGAGTTCGTTTCTCAAATATTATCAGTGGAATCATGGCATGTAAATCTTTTGCGGTTTAGATTCTCTTACATAATGTATTTTTGAGATCCAATAATATATCAAATGTGTCAGCACTTTTTTGTTGCTGAGTCATAGTTCATTATGTAACACTGCAGTTACTCTCCTCTGAGGAACTGTTGATATTTAATTTTTAATAAAACTTCCACGCATGTTATATGCGGTCTTTAACTTACATTGGTTCCACAATAGAAGTAAATGAAGCATAAATCTAAACTTCTGTCCAACTTTTCAAACACAATTTCATTTGAACTTGGCTTACCTATCCATCCTGTGTTGTATTTCTTCCCAACTTGCTCTCTGGTTTTATCTGACTTTTTAGAGGTTGATTGATGTCCACTCTGGTGAGTTCTCTTTCATTTTGCTTCTGTGTGCTTGTGCTATTACACATACATGTGTATCTTCTTGTATAATATCCTCTTACTTATTGGTCAAATGCACTTGGGTCCCTGTGCACATACATACGTGCAGGCACTCACTCATACATAGAAAATAAAATGAAATCTTAGGGGCTGGAAAGTTGGCTCAGAGGTTAAGAGCACTGACTGCTCTTCCAGAGGTCCTGAGTTCAATTCTCAGCAACCACATGGTAGCTCACAACCATCTGTAATGAGATC